GGTCGATACCCGGCATGTCTTCGACACTCCAAGCGAAGGTCGACGAGTTCCCTGTGAGAAGGGCCACGAGGGCCGCTCTGATTTCCGAACTAATTTCCGCTCCGATATTTACACATCGTAGTGGGTCTGACGCGTCAATATTCACGAGTTCAGTGCGGCTCAGCTCCGATTCTTCATAGGATTTGCCCGGCGCCTTTTCTGTTACGGAGCTGGGCGCGGGCTTCTCTTTCTTTGGTTGCTATAACTTCTTTTCGGCGCGGTTCTTGTGTTCGATCAGAAAACATGTCCGCGCTACTTGCTGATTTCCTCTGAGGGTGAAGATTCCGTGATGAGTGGGAAATTTGACGCACTGGTGGTAGGTAGATGCGATGGCCTGCATTTGATGAAGCCACGGCGTCCCTAAGATTACGTTGTATATCGCCGGTTTGTCAATGACAACGAACTTAACCCAGGCGATCGTGCCGCCGACGAACGTGGGCAGCTTGATGGTGCCTAGGGACATGATGAAGTCGCCATCAAATCCTGCCAATGGTCGAGAGCGCGGCTTTATACGTCGGTTGGCGACATTCATCGCGGTGAGAGTATCTTTAAAAATCAGGTCGACCGAGCTGCCTGTATCGACCATGACGCGTGTGACGCGGCTGTCGCTGACGATGAGCTCGACGACGAGGGGATCGTTGTGGGGAAGATCAACTCCGACGAGGTCGTCTTTTGTGAATGAAATGGGTTCGATCTCCTCGGAGGGTTGGCTCGGTGTCACTGGCCACGTCTTCATCATTTCGGCTTTCTTTCGGTATTGTTTGATTGAACGGACTGAATCGTTGCAATTTTGGAGGCCGCCCATGATCATATGAATTTGTCGGACGACCTTGGGGGCGTCGGCGATAGCTTTGCCCTGGCGTTGTCTTTTGGCCGGGTCGTTCGCCTGATCATCGTTAACGGCGGTTTCCTCGGCAAGGTCCTCAAGGAACTGCCGAGCAGCTGTTTCAGTACGTCTTTGGTTTTTGTTACTCCCTTGGGGACGGTCGCACTCGATGGCGATGCCGCCGCTTTTGTACTTAGCCATGAGGAGTCCTTGCAAGTAACGACAGTCCTCCGTTGCGTGGGCCTTGCTCTTATGATATGCACAATATACCGGCCCCGTTGCATCGGCATCGGTGTCTCTCGACCATTTGTTCCAAGGTTTGTGCGTCGTGTTTTCGCTATTTATGGCGAACGTGGCCGGCTTTCTTCCTTGGCTCGTATTGCGATCTAGGTGTTGCTTTGGCTCCGTAGGCTTCGCTACGGAAGCTTCTTTCGGCGTCGGGGCCTTCGTTACACCGTGCTTTCGTGAGAGAACGAGCCGTTCCTCTTCTAGCTCGATGTATCTTGTTGCTCTATGGAGCGCGTCCTCGAGCGTGTTTGGGACGTGGAGCGTGATATCATCTCTAAATCTGGAGTCGTACCACACCGCGTTGCGTAGAGCCACGATCGCGGCTTCGTCTGGTATGACGATTCGGGTGATGACGTCTTTGAAACGGTCGATAAACAATTGGAGGGACTCCGTAGGTCCTTGTGAGAGGGACCAGAGGTCGGCATTAGTTGTTTGGTTCTGTATGAGCGGCGAGTAATGCTTGAGGAACGTTACGGACAGTTGCCGGTAACTGCTAATCGAATTCGGCTTAAGCCTTGAGAACCAGTTGAGGGCGGCGCCGGTTAGATGTTCGGTAAAAATCTGGCACTGTCCGGCCTCGAAGTTTTCGTCAGTTAGCTCGGCCCGGTTGATCGCTATGCTGAACGATGTTAGGAATTCTTTCGGATCTCCCTTTCCGTTGTAGGGCTCGAGCTTGATCTTCTGACGCCCTCGAAGTGAGACACTGGTTATTCTCCGAGTGAAGGGTGTTTGCTGCGTTTCGTCGAGGACGCGGTCGAGTTCTGGTGCGGCGCTTATGGCCTTGTGAACCTTCGTATTCATGTCCAGGACAATGCGTCGCAGTTCGGCAAGTTCGAGGTCTCGGGCACTCTCGCTTGATGAAGTTACGGGATGAATCTGCCGAGCTATCACTGGGTTTCCTTGGGCGGGTCGCACACCTTGCGTCTGACTTGCGTTTAGGCAGTTGATTTCGTCCTGAGCGCAAGCTTGGGCCGCTGCCAAAGATTCGAGTCGCACGTTCGTCCTTTCTTCTTGCTGGCTTAGGTGCGCGAGGATGTTCTGAAGCAGGTCGTCTGGTTCAGTGCGGCCCCGGCTCCTTTGGTTCGTCCCAGCCCTGGCATCGGCATGGGGGTTCGTTGGGTTACGTCCGCTCGTAGGTGCCGCCGGGGCGTCAGGATGCGGTGCCGGAGGCAACCCCGTTGCTGCTGCAATTGGTCCTTCTGGTGTCGGGGGCAAGGAGGGCGGTGCGTCGACTGGGGTGCACGCTTCTCCTCCCGAACTGGACGCGCTGGCACCGAGAGCGTTGAGAAATGCATCTGCCATTTTCCGTGTTGTAGGCTCGTCGTTCTGAGAGAAATCTTCGAGCTGTTGCCCCTACCTGGCGCGCCAACTGTTGATCCTCAAAATCACACAAGTACGAATTCTCAAGGGAAAGGAAGAAGAATCTCTTATTTAATTGACGAGCTTGACAATTACAAAATAGACGAGCTTGATTTCTAAATTTACGAGCCGAGCCGCAAAGTTCTCTGACGGTTGTACTGTATTCTCTGCTGAAGTCGTTATCTCGGGATCCCCCTACCTGGCGCGCCAACTGTTGATCCTCAAAATCACACAAGTACGAATTCTCAAGGGAAAGGAAGAAGAATCTCTTATTTAATTGACGAGCTTGACAATTACAAAATAGACGAGCTTGATTTCTAAATTTACGAGCCGAGCCGCAAAGTTCTCTGACGGTTGTACTGTATTCTCTGCTGAAGTCGTTATCTCGGGATCCCCCCTCCAATCACTCTCCTTCTCTCTTTATAATGTGCAGAGGTAGGGTACCCTACTTGTGCGAAATGTCCTTTTTGCCCTTTGGTCGGTGGAGAAAGATTCACTGGGCTTTTCTTGGGCTTCTGTATCCTAGGCTTTCTGGGCCGCAGAAGATGGCGAGCTGGCTAAGGTTTTTGGGCCCGAGCCCAAAATCTACCATCAACACTAGCTTTGATTGCAATAAGCAGAGTCAAGAAGCCATGCGTAGTGTCCTCTCCCATGATTAATTGCACAAATAAATAGATTTGACCAAAGAGAGATTGAGAGACAGCCTCGTGGACTTGTTAAAACTCAATCATGTCACGTTGCATGATAAGTTCTTCGTCCACTCGAAAAACATTATTGATGCCATGGACTTGGATTTACGAGAAAAGAGAGTCATGCACAAGTTCAAAACAGAGAGAGACTACATAAACATTAAGGACATAAAACACTAGTTTCAAAGCTGGTGATGATTACTCCGCCAAAGCGTGGCCCAGTTATTTTGAACGATTTACGTAATTTACCAAGAAATAATAAAAATGGGAAATCCAAAAGTCATGAAAAAGAGGGAAAAAAAAAAGAAAATAGAGAGACGCTTTGTTCTATTATATAAAGGAACCCTAAAGAAGCAAAATCTCATTAGGTTTCAATCTCTAAAGTCACTTCATAAACCCTAAATCGATCCATGTCTCAGAAACGTTTCAATACGCCGATGGCTTCTTCAAGCGACGAAGATGAAGTGGAGACTCCAATAAAAGAAGTTGAAGACTCTTCGTCGGATGAAGAAGATGATGTTGTGTCCTCTAAAAACCCATCATCAGCCGTGATGAAGAAGCCAGTCGTTGCCACGGAGAAGCAAGTTTCTGATTCCGAATCTGGATCTGAATCAGATGAAGAAGAAACTGATTCCGACTCCGAAGAACCCGTGAAGAAAGATGAGGTTGTGACTAAGCCAGTGAAGCTTGTAACCGAAGCCAAAGATTCTGTCTTGAAGAAGAATCAAGATTCCAAGAAGGTGAAAGATTCTGAGAAATCTGTGACAAAACGTTCTCGTGAAACCGTTGAAGCAGCTGGCTCTACTGATGTGAAGAGGGTCAAGAAGGTTTCAGGGGAAGCAGAGAAAAAGAGTGGTGGAGGAGAAGAAACGAAGAAAGCTTATTTCCAACGTGTTTGGACTGAAGATGATGAGATTGCGGTTTTACAAGGACTTATTGATTTCAAAAACGATACTGGGGTAAGTCCTTATGATGATACTAATAGGGTTTATGAGTTGTTGAAGAAATCTATTAGCTTTGATGTCTCTAAGGTTCAGTTCATGGAAAAACTTAGGAATTTAAAGAAGAAGTATGAGAACAATCTTGTTAAAGCCAAGAGTGGTGATGAACCTACGTTTGTAAAAGCTCATGATCGCAAGGCTTTTGAATTGTCTAAGTTTGTTTGGGGAGCTATGGAATCAGCTGTGAAATCTAGTGGGAAGTCGAAGAAGAGTAGTAAGTCGAAGAAAGTTGAGTCTGTGAACCATGATCTTGATTCTTCTTTGCCCAATGGTAAGAACGAGGGTACCGCGGATCTGGATACGTTTCCCAAGTCTTCTCTTGTTAGATCGCTAGTGTGTGTTGGTTTTGATGAATTTTCTGCTCAACAAGGATTGAGTAGCCTTGCCTCAGTGGATAAGAAGAGATTCGAGGAGAAGTGGAAAGCATTGCAGGTTAGGGAATTCGAGTTCTATTCGCAAAAGAGCGGTTTTCTTCATGAAGTGGTAGCAAAGATGGCTGAAACATTTCCATCAAATGCTTAGATATATATATGGATTTCTCTTTTGTTTTTTGGTTCTGCTGATGACTCAGGTTTTTTTCTCATTTTAGTTTCTATTGACTCTTGAAAAAGAGTTCATTTTGGAATATTGCGGATTTATCAACTTAGTTTCTATTGAATCTTGAAAAAGAGTTTATTTTGGAGTATTGCGGATTTATCAATATGATTTTAGTTTCTATGGACTCTTTGATGTGTCATAGCCACAATTGTTTATTAATCTTAGTGGTAACTAAGAAGGGATCAGGACAATCAAATTATCGTGTAGGTGCCTTTTTTATTCATGTATGTTTTATCTTGCTAGCCACTGATCCCAAGTAACAAGATGAAACTCAACTACAACTGAATTCAGAACAAATGCTTCCATGATGATGATCACGAAAACCGTGAAACTACCGTCTTCTAGTCTATTGAACAACGAGCGAGCACTCGTTAGAGAAACATGAGGTTCTCAACCTGACCAGGGAAGATAGAGATTACACGACGGTTCAAATGGCTATCCCACCGTAAAAGCTTTAGTTCCGTGATTCCTTCTATGAAGACTCTTCTCACAGCATTTTTCTTGGGATCATAATAGAGAACATAAAATGGTGGTTCATGAAACATTGTTTCTGGTGCCAAAACAAACTCACCTGCATCCGTGAGACAAAAGACTTGAAAAGATGATTCAGTGTTCCAACACGGCACAACAAAAACCTTATTCGACCATTCATGTTTCCCCTCAGCTTTGTAAACAGAGCAGTTTCTGGTGTTTTTATAAGATGAAACTTTTCAGACCTAACATCAAAACTCATGACTGCTTTATCTTTGTCGAGAAAAGCTGGATATGTTTCAAGATAAGCTTCATAGTATATCACACCATCAATGCATAGATCAAGAGACTCAGGTGCGTGAGGAGGGAAATCTTCAATCATCCTCCAAGAGCTCCCATTTCCCAATGTCAAAACCCGAAGGTCCTCAGCTAAACCACGTCGCCAACCAATATTCATTCCTTTAGTCATACACAAAACTTTGTAATCACCATGAATGGGAGCATAACCTAAGTAGTGGTACATATCACTCCTCTGAGAATAAATCTTGGGCAGAGTAATAGATCGTCTAGTGCTAGGGTTATATACGATGAGTTTATAAGGAGGTCCATGGCAAATCAAACCATGAACAGAGGCAGAAAAAGTTGTGTACGGCTTAGGAAAGCATTTCATATGGTAACTTGCTACAGAAGTTGATGATGATTCACCTTGATTTTGGGGTTGAATCGATTTTGCCAAAACCTTGTTGAGAAAAAGGAGAAGAAATGAAGATTAGATATGTTTTGCCTTATTATATGTCCACATAATAAAAATTGAATAATTTTAACTCATAGGTTTTAAAATATGTTTTCCTTTCATTCAAAATGCGCATCTACATATACATTTTTACAGGGTTTTTTTGCATTAATTCATTTGGACGGTTTTACCCGGGTTTAACTCTATCCGGATCTTGGATAAGGAATTTTAGGAATGTTGTCTTAAAACCACATTAATTCTTAATTAACACCTAAATTAGAAATATATATAATATATCTAAACTAACCATATTTGTTATTTACCTTAACTACTTCTAACCATAATTATTTAACTATTTATTTCTATATAGAAAGAATATGTGATTAAAATAAATATTTTGTAAAATATTGATTTGGGAAAAAATTGTTCTTACGAAAATAATTTGTTTTGTTATAAAAATTAATATTTTTTATTTGTAATTTAATTACATAAATAATAATAATAATTTTTCTACACCATCAAATGAAAATAGTTAGTTATTTAATTTTTTATTTAATATTACGTAATTTTAAAAACAATAAATTCAACAATATAATGTCAATGGGTTTAATTCTAAAGATTTGAAAATATTAAAAAAGATACTAACCAAAAATTATATATCCTAATTTGTTTCTAACAATTTGGACACAAATCTTTCAAATCTTTCGAAAATTTAATGTGATCACATTTGTTACTAAAATCTCAATTATATTCCTAAAATCTCGAGAAGATCTTCCTTTAAATCTGCAAATTATAATTTTTGAATTAAATAAACTAACAATACGAATATTCCTAATATATTCGAGTACCATAACGAAATTAATTCACTAATTATACATATATTTTTGAAATTATCTTAAATGCTTACCATTCCAAAAAATTATTTATTATATATATCTCCAAACCGATTTTGTTTCTAATTTGTCTCTTCAAACTTATCTTTCTATAATCACATTTTTTCCTATTTTATATGCTAAAAATATTCGGTAAATCTCATCTCAATTAATTACTCCCAACGACACAATCTCTAAAATATCTCAACAATCCTCATTTCATTTCTAATTAAGTTAATATTTTGAAATCAAAAACGATTTTCACATATTTCCCAAAATTCTAGCCACAATCTTCCTAAAAATCTACACTATATTTATTTCTTCCAAACAAAAATATTCATATCGAGTAATTTAAAGAAATTATTTACTACTATACAAAATCGAAATTGCAGCATATTCCTAAAATAAATCGATACAAAGATTTGATTCGAATTTAGTTAAGGTTGCAAAATATTTTCCTTGGCTACCACGAATTTCGTAACCTAATCGTCCCAGGCCTATATACTCTTTCGCTTCACCTCTCATCACACCATGGAACACACGAAACATTTTTGTTTTCTATTTGCAGGAAGTTATGGAATACTCTACTGAAATTTTGAGAGATCCAGTGAATTTCAGCAAGGTATAACTCTAGACCCTAAAACTCTTGATTTCAGTTTAATATTGATGCTTATAGGCTTTTTGTTTGGTTGTAGATACTTCATAAAATCAAGCCTGGAAAGAAAGCTAACACCAACTCTTCACCTCTAAAACATCTTCAGAATTTGTTTTCTCAAAACCAAGAATCATCCAGCTCAAGAATGATGTACGGTTGTTTTTTTTTTCCTTTATTTCTTAAAAGCAGAGTAATCCTTATTCAAACTCTTTTCCAGGTTAATAATAGCAGATGAGATGGATTACTTGATCACAAAAGACCGAGGAGTCCTGTATGATCTTTTAATGCTTACAACTTTGCCATTTTCAAGGTGTATACTTTTAGGTACTGTCTTTATGGTCACAGCTACGATTTATGTATTCATTTCCTCTGTTCATATGCAATTGTGACTTACTATGTCGTTTTTGATTGCCAGGTGTAGCAAATGCAATAGACCTTGCATATCGTTTCCTTCCAAAATTGAAGTCCCTTAATTGTGAGAATTTTTAAACAGTCTTCCATGTGCGAGATGCAAGCAAAAGTCGTATAAGAAATGGGAGCTACTCAAGGTTTGGGGCTCTTTCGTTTCTTTGCTTCAGTGTTGGCTCGAGACTATCTTTGAATTCGATATAATAGGACTCTGTTGATTGTCTAGATTATTTTTACGAAATTAAATTTCTATTTGAAAATTAAGATTGGAATCAACGGTGAGTTCCGGATCTTTAGTGGATTTAGATGCTTTTAAGGTTTTTATTCATACATTGTTTGTGTGATTTTTTTGAATGGATAATTACTTCTTTAGTAGATTGTTTGTTGGTCTTTTCATGTTTCTAATTGGAAATCTAAGGTTTTTTGTTTCTCTTCTTTACTATAACCTGTTTATGAATTTGGCTTTATAAGTTTCTCTGATAAATTCTTCATTTGTTGGTGCAGTCTCATTCTCCTCGAATATTTGGCCATTAAGCTGCAGGGAGAGTTACTTCTGTTTGTAACCTCATTTTATAAGTTATTTAAGCATAGGAACAAGTTAAGAAAATCAACTCCATTTCGTATGTTGAATGTGATGAGGTATTGAGTGTTCTAACCATCTAATGTTGTCCTTAGTGTGTGATTTAGCAGCATTGTTGCGGTGTTTCGTATAGGACTATTGTAACTAGCTTTGTCAGCTTAGGAACAGACCTTACCAGTTAGTTGAGAGGTGACGGTTTATAGTAGAGCGAGGAGACTGTGCTGCATTCTGGATTTGTCTAGGGTCTTGGTTTAGGCATTGAGGCATCAGTGAAGAGTTAAAGAATTCTATTGTTAATAGTCGCTTCTATGGTGTACTTCTTTGTGAATTGAGTAAAAAAAAGAGTTTACCGGTTTAAATCCTAGCACTGTGTCTATGGATGGGTCTGCATTATAGTGGAGAGCATTGGAAAAGGCGTAACCGAGTTTGAAAAAGGAGATCACGTGCTCGATGTATTCACTGGAGAATGCGGGTCCTATCGGCATTGCATATCTTGGGAAAGTAACATGTATCAAGTTCTTGGAATGGAGAGGAAAGGTTTGATGCTGATTAAAAGACACGCTTCTCATTTATTTGAGGGTTTATAATATGATTGTGGAACTTTTTAGTCTATATACTTATTAAAATCTATTGATTCATTTCATATGGTTGCTTTAATATTCGTTCTTTAACAAACTCATTTTGCTATTTTACGTACTATAAACCAAACTCATGTTGGTAATAAATAATTTGGTTAGTTATAAATTAGATTAACCCCCTAAAAACATTATTACCAAACATATAAAGATTATTTATGTATACTGAATAATATGTTGTTTTAGATTATTACTATGCAATTTACTCATAATCATTAATAATGAGGACAACATTTTTTTTCCTCGATGAAATATCTAAAGTCAAGAATGAATATATTCAAACCTAAAACAAAAAATATTCAAATTATATTCGCCATACATCGATACTTAATGATTTGTATGTTTTCGTATCTATATTTTAAAATTTAAACGTAAAACATACTAATCGTACACTATATAATCTATAGATATATATGTATATTTTAAAAAACACAAAATGATAGTTTATATCTATAGATAATCTTCAAAAAATGTAAATTTAATTTTTTTTTTAAATATAGCTCCGCAGTGTACCGTGGTAATGGACTATATAATTTTCTTTATCTCTATATTTTGAAAAATGAATTTAAAATATACTAATCCTACAATATATAGATATATACATACATTTACATATATGTAAAAGAAAAACCTTAAAATAAAAATTTTAATTTTTTATTTAATAAAAATATAGGTCCGCGGTGTACCGCGGGTTAATTTCTAGTTTATCACTATTTTTATAATGATCATTTTTTTTCCTTTGCTTGACACCAAATTAAGTGTTCAACACGTTTTAGGGTTTGATTGGCTGCAAAACCAGTAATTACATTTGGGGTTTGGTTGACTGAAACACGTGTCCTCGACAAGCCCTATGCACGACGTCATACTACCTGATGATACAAAAGGCTAGCCCTAACCTACATCCTTCTCAACCGTCCAAAATTCACCTGCAAATCTATCTCACAAAGATCAACGGTGATTCTAGAGTACGACACTAAAGAGTAACAGTACATAATAGTACAATTTTAGTACCATCTCAATGCATTTTATCTTCTCTCCTTAGCTTGAAGAAATTACATGCAAAAGAAAAATGGCTCCGAGTATATCAACCATCAGAAATTACTATACTCACCAAGAGTACTCTGTAGATTTCTTTGGAGAGGAATTGATCGTCACCGTAACGCGAACTCCATCGGTAATCAGAAAATGGATCAACAACGTCCACTTTTTCAACCGTTTTACCTCTCACCCTCTTGTTGTTGGACTCGGCGTCTATTGGACACTGCCTACTCACTACGCTGACCCTCCGCCTGAGAGTTACAATCGTCCAGCAGATACTCTTCAGTTATGCGTTGGTACACGATGTATAATCATCCAGCTTTCTCACTGTGACCACGTCCCCTATGCCCTCCACAACTTTCTCGCGAGTTACACGCACGTTGGTGTGTGGAATAGTCAAGACGCGACAAAGCTAGAGCAGTGTAGACATCAGTTGAAGATTGGGAAACTTTTGGACATAAGGAGGTTTGTTGAAGGTTCAAGAGGGAGCTTGAGGGGTTGTTCGTTAATTTCTTCCATGCGTAATAAGTAGTTGTATCTTTTTTATTTGTTTGGGCAACAATATCTTTCTTTTTTGTTGATGAAGATGTTGTATAATGTTATTAAGGAATGATAGGATTTGTAAATGTTATAACTATATATATCTTTGATTACAAAATTGATGGATTGATTTATCTTAATCAAACACACTCATCCTCTATCTAGACCTGTAATTCACCGGCTTGGATTATGTGCAAAAGATTATTGCTTCTAATTAAAGGTGCATAAACATTACTTCTTCTATACATAATCAAATCCTTTTCTCTTTTGTAGCAAGTTCAGCAATATTTGCATATGTATCCAAATACAATTTGGTGAGATAAATACTTAAATTTCTGATAAATAAACAAGTGAAAGTTTTGACCAAAAAATTAAATAAATTAAAGTGAAAGATGAAACGAAGTTTCTTTCAAGACAAATATTTTTACAGTTTTTTTTTTTTTTTTTTGTCAAAACATATACATGTCCATTAACATGAGGTACTCGCAATTTGCAAAGAGTTATACTAGAGAGAAAGAGGTGGAGAAACGAACAATGGATTATATATGGTTTTGCTTTCTTATATATGTCCACATCATTTAAAATTTCAAACCAAAATTAATTGAATAATTTAATTAACTCATAAACTTTTATATGTATGCTTGTCTTACATTCAAAATGCGTATTTATCACTATTGTTATAAATGATGAGTTTTTTCATTGCTTGACACCAAATTAAGTGGTCACCCTCACTAGGCCTGGGCATAAAATCCGAAATCCGAAAACCGATCCGAAACCGATCCGAAAAATCCGGCTCCGAATCCGAACCGAATAGTTATAAAACCCGAACGGATAATGAATTCTCCTATCCGAATTATCCGAACCGAACCCGATCCGAACCGGAAACCGAAAGGATATCCGAAAACCGAAAATAAAATTATATATCCAAAAATATTAGTTATATTTAGCTATAATTTTATAACAAATAACAAAAATATCCTAAATAACCTAGATATCGGGAAGTTTTTAGTTATGATTGTTAAAATTATACATATTTTTGGAAAACTTAGCCAAATTTTAGTAAGATTAAACTATTTTTTTATTTAAATTGAACATTTTTTTTAGTTTTTTTTTCCCAAAAATAAATTCAAACCGATCCGAATCCGACACTATCCGAACCGAATCCGATCCGAATAGTCATAAAATCCGAACGGATAATAAAATCTCCTATCCGAATTATCCGAATCCGAATAAATCCGAACCGAATCCGATCCGAAATCTGAATGCCCAGGCCTAACCCTCACCCACGTTATAGGATTTTATTCGGTTGCATATTATTTTTTATAATAAGAACTGGAACCTGAAATTATCTGGGGTTGGGGTAACTAAAACGTGTGTCCTCGAGACAACCTAGACACGCAGTCCTACTACCTGATGATGCAAGGCTAGCCCTAACCTAAATCAAATTGAAATTACTCTCTCCTTCATGTTTTACTTATAATAGTACTTGATTATATAAGGCTTTTAAAGCCACTTAAATGCTATTGCAATTTAAGACTTTTACTCGGGAGTTTATCAAGTAAAACGAAACCCAAAGGACTTAATTAGTCCTCTTCACTTCAACCAAAAAGCCAAAGCACAAAGAAAACTCTTCATCTCCGTCAAAACTTGAAATATTGTGAAGACGACTCAAGCTACTTCCCACAAGGTATCAAAAACGTTTTCTTTTATCATTGCATGAAGATTCGTTTTAATTTGTAAGAATCTTAATCTCTGTTTGATCTCATGTGTGTAGCAAAAACCAATGACAACGTTAATTGACTCATACGCTGCACAATGTTGGAAGTGTCTCAAAGTGAGATATGTAGAGTCCCAAGAAAAATACGAGGATATTCGAAGCGAAACACCGGAAAAGTCTTTTGAATGCAGGAGCTGTGAAGAACCTGGAGATGTGGATATGAACGTTGATTCCCCTGTCGTGCGTTGGTTTCAAGATCGACATGGTATACCCAAAACCCCTCAAGGGTTGAAGAGGATTTTGGTTGTTAGACGAAGCGGCGAGAAAGCCGATGTTTATTACCAAACAGAAGCTCCTAAACGAAAGAGACTAAAGTGTTTCAAGGACGTCACTAAGTTTATTGAAGACAATGAACAATTCAAAGACATGAAGATAGAAGAGGTTTCTTTTGCCGCACCCAAACGAATGAAGAAAAAAAAAGTCTAACTAAGGATGTTGTTGCTGATAACAAGACTTGACAAGATCAATAATTTAAGGTTTATTATTTTTCTTTAGTTTCCTTTTACATAAAACTCAAGCACTAGCTTTTTTTTTATTATGAGTTTTAAGGCTTTATTTTTCTCTCTATCGATCTATTGAATGTCTTTTTTGTTTAGCTAATGATAATGTTGATGTTAAAGACTCAAAACATGGTAGTAGAATTCAAAAATACAACTAAAGATCTTTTTTTTCTGGGTATATAGAATTGAGAAACAGAGAGATGAAAAATGCCAAGAGTCAAAAAAAAAAAAAAAAAAGTCCACAAAACAAAAGCCTCTGACGGAGAAGGAGGTTTTCAGGTGTTTCCCAACCAAAACGCACAATACGACGTCGTTTAGAAGCAGAAACGACATTTCTTTTAAAGTTTCGGGTATCACTTGATTCTCTCTACCTTCATCAATCAATCAATCTCCTGGAAACATTTGGGAGCCTCTCAGATCCTCAAGAAAACCCTAAATCAGAAGTCGAGATCGATGGCGTCTTTCGCTCGCCGAGCCATGAGCTTAGCTCATCAGATCCCATCTGCTCGTGTTTCCGCTGGAGCTTCTTCTATTGGTCAGCGTCGTTGTCTCGCCGGCGCCGCTGGTACTCTCCTTTTTTCTCTTTTCGACATTTGCTCTGAATCTACTATTGTTTCGGTATCAATTTTAGGACGCATAGCTTATTGCTCACATTGTATGTCTAATTCGTGTTTTCACGAACCAAATGTTACAACTTTGTGAAGATTTTGTAATCTATTGTTTGTTATCATTGGAATTGAATCACTGTATTATCTTAAATAAGAATTTTTGAGTTTTTGAGCAATTTGTGGATTTGTGTGTATTGTGCAGATCACCATGGATCTACCAAGGTTGACTTCTGGAAACAGCCCACGAACCCAGGAAACTGGAAAGAGGAGCATGTATGTGTATCATCATCATGTGTTTTGTTAATGAAAGCTGTGATTTTTGGTGTTTGACACAAAAGTTGAATTGATTCCATCTCTTACCTGATCAATCTGCAGTTTGTGCTTATTTCTCTGTCTGGCTGGGGATTACTTTTCTACAGTGGATACAAGCTCGCCACCGGTGGAAAAAAGGAGGTACTTGCTCTTGCTCTTACTCTTGCTCTTCTTACATCGTAAAGCGGCTTCGTGTTCCTTCCCTTATGCGTGTTTTTAATCTTTGCAGGAGCCTGTAGAGAGTACACAATGAGTTTCATTGTCACCAGGAAAGACCCTTTTATGGAGAGACCTCTCATTCTCATGCACTTTGTTTTCCCTTTTAGCAGATTGTGACTGGTCTTGTGTTTCGTTTTGAAAATAATTTGCATCACTTTTGAGATCTGATGATGTCTGCAATGGATGGTTCTTGATAGTTTTGTGTTTCATAATATCCTATGTTTCAAACAGACAGGATTTAAGAGAAAGTATTGTCTCACTCTACGTATGTTGACATATGCTTTCGATTTATTTCCATTCTGTTTGTCTGGTTTGGATTCCAAATTTTTGTTGTAGGTAATTCTGCTTATGTGCTGACTGATCCAAATATTTGTAGGCTTGTAGCTGCTCTTGGCTAATGCATTTATTCTTTACATAGTTTCTTCAGCGTAGCATTACCGTCACTGCTTGCTTCTTGTTATCGATCTCTTGCCTTGTGTGTATTTGGGGAGGTTAAAAGGTTGAAACTAGATTAGGTGCGTGTTCTCGTAGTGATGCTTAATTTGCTCTCCAAGCCCAAGTCGTTTTTTTCAGTTGTTTGTGTTTCCTACTTGGTCTCCCCAGTCACATAACAGGTGTAACAATCTACTGATTAAAGAAAATGCAGAGCATCCACCATACATTACAAGTTTTTGCAGAAGAATTAAAGAAGTTATAGAAATGAAGTCAAATGGGTTGGGCGTTGGTGGTGAAGTCGAGGCAAGTCTGGCAGTTACAATCAGAGAAACGGCAGAGCTTGCAACCAAAGCAGACGCAAGACGTGCAGCCTTTGCAAGACGGAGAGCGAGTGCACCCTCTGAACACTTTCCTGCTCCCTCTTTCTTCCTCCTCCTCGCATGTTATCTTGTTGAATGGATAATCACAACACTTCCAATTAGGCTCAGCTATTGCATCATGGTGCATCCGGCATTCACCTCTGCTCCTCAACCTGAACCTCCTCTCCTTCCCGCATTTGCTGCACCCAACAAACTCATCCCGATGAATGACTTTCGATACGTTAGAGTTCTTCAATGCTTTGTTGTAGTATCTGAGCAACACTGTCTTTGAAAGCGGAACCTTGTCTCCCTCGATAAACACCCACACATTGTTCCTCCAGTTTCTAGAGGTTTCTCTTTCAGAATGCTTCTCGAAGGCAGCAGGCGTTAACTTGTCTACCATCATAGAATCAAAGCTGTCAAGATCACTTTGAAAGAAACTTGAACATGTAATATTAAAATGGAGATACATGACAATGTAAGATTATGCCAGGCTTTAAAAGACTGCATGAAACATATTGCATCTAGCAAATAAAAGCAGCCTTAGTTCATCATCGAGGCCAAAGAGACAGTTGCATTGCATTCTTGACACTATCATGATATCCATAACCGCGATGATATGATGCAAACAAAGTTGTAGAGCTAGGTGATCTCACGCATTCACAAGGAACATGCATATAAAAAGATGTGAGAGAGAAGAGAAGAAACCTTCGTGGCAAGCGGGAGTGCATTGGCAGGTGATTTGAAGTTCTCCATCTGAAAATATCTTAAGCCTCGCAATGGCGTCTCCGTAACGGTGGCTGGTGCAGCCACACATCACCTCGACGTAATCGTCTCCCACATGGACTCCGCTTATTTCTTGCAGCTCCTCTTTGCTGAACAGTTCCTTGGACCCACATTCTCTCTCCATATCCGATCGGGACAAAAGTAAAGAACGACGAAGAGCTTCTTCCTACGAAGTATTATATAGGATTAGAGCCCTAAACACCAAGGGACAAGAAGGTAATTTGACATGAGTAAAAGAGAAAAAGCCCTAAAGGAGCTAGCATCAGTAGTAACGAAGGATCTGATAATTATATAGCAAAATCTCAAAGGTTAAAAGCTTTTGGAGTAAAACAAAAAGAGAGAGAGACTTTGGTGGTTTTCTAGGTTTTAGGGGATTTGAAAGAAACTCTCTATAGAGACAGAGAGATGATGGATGCAAATTAGGTGGCCAAAGAAAAATACAAGTCGTGGGGCATGGGAATTGTGAATCTTTTCATTTTTTAAAAATATATATAATATTATCAACGTAACGTTCATACATATAGATGTGTTTTTGTAATTGTCCATATATGGTTGGTTGATGATAAAAGAGAAGAGATTAAGTAAAGCTGTTTTCTAAACCCACAGAAATTAAATTACCTCTTCTCTTCTTTCCTTTCCCTCTTTTACTTTCTTTCTGACTTTTGAGGTCTCTGTATAAATCAAGGTTTCATGGGTTTACCATTTATGTACACAAATAATGCTTTTTCCTTAAGAGTTAGGTATATGACAGTCACATCTGTGTCCTTATTCTCCATTGCGGCCCAACTCCAATGTGCCCATACATATGTATGTACATGTATACACATATACAAGGACACAACTAAACTTTAATTGTCTATGTCAATGTGTGTAGGCATGTCATAAGTTACATTTTTTAAACATATATAACGTATATTCCTTCCGTTTCAAATTATTTGTCGTTTAGAAGTTAAATTTTGGTTCAAATTAGTTGTCGTATAGTTCTTCCGTTTCAAATTATTTGTCGTTTAGAAGTTAAATTTTGTTTCAAATTAGTTGTCGTTTTATGTTTCAATGCATGTTTTTGACCTCTTTCCCTTTGTTGCAAACCCAAAAAATGACCAAGAAGAACTCAAGTCAATAATGAGCCGCACCAAACTCCACCTCATCCACGTTGTTTTTAGAGACTTTTGACCCTCAAAATTTCACCTACGACCATATTAATATTAAAACAGTTGTCTTTTCATTTTAACAAATCATATAGACTACAACCTTCATATATATAATTTTGAAGGGCAGAGATTGTTAATTACTACATGGTCACGATGCTACCAATATTTCATTATACACTAGTTGATGACTTGCATGCATTGCCATATAGATATGCAAAGTAAGGCGAAATGCGAAGAAATCAGGTTTAAGAACCAAGGCAAAAAGCATGGCTATACAAAACAAATCTCTTGCAGTTGTCGTCGATCGAGACAAAACACCAATGATGAGAGTTGATGTTTTTGCCTCAATGATTTCATCTTTGATCGTTTCACCTTTTTTATTTAATCTTTGCTAATTTCAATATTTATTCAAAGCAATGTATAACATATCTAAACACAAAAGGAAGATAAATGATTGATGTCGGTAATAATACGTTATAAGAATGACAACATCGTACTGTTTTTAATTTTTACTTTGAAATTTATGAATTACTGAGCAAGTCCATATATCTTTGAACGATCTGGTCGGGTGTATAATCCGTGTAATACCCTTTTCCCACAAGCAGACCTTCCTCTCTGCCAAGCCTCTCGATCAGTCCGTGAACTTCATCTCCTCCCACTTGGCTTGGATTCAACAAGTTACAGGCAACCTCTATGACTCCTTCCCCGTGTACCAGCGCCATTGTCTGCACTGAAGCCAAGCCCCCTCCTCTCTCGCTCGCCTTCCTCGCCATTTTCCTCACTGCCTTGAGATCGTTTGTCATTACTGGCACGTTATAGTTACTCACCCACCCACACGCCCCAACTGCTACAACCCCTTTGGCTTTGTTCACCTCTTGTGGCCCTGCGTCTGGCTTCACCGGCACCGTCTCCAGCTCTAACCCACCTCCCCATTCATGTCCCTCCCTGTTCGCCTTGAAGTACCCCAGCTTCCTTCTGATCGAATCCAGCGTGCACTGCTCCTTTTCTGCTGCTCCATAGAGATATGTAGGAACTGCACCAGGGTGGGTCATATATCTCAGTCCATATATCAATATAGAGATTGCTACAAAGACTTGCATGTTCTATGGCTTAGACGAAGATGAGATTTTAAAGACAGTACATCACTCTGTCTATAACAAAGTACACACCAACTACACCATACAAACAATACTCTGTTCTTATCTTGAAAAGAGCAGAGAGCAGAGCATTGCTACAAAGACTTCCATATTCTATGGCCTAGAGATAATGAGATAATAAAAACAGAACATCACTCTGCCTATCACAAAGTACAGCAGACAAACATTGCTCTGTTCTTATCTTGATAAGAGCAGAGAGCAGAGCATTGCTTACAAAGACTTCCATGTTCTATGGCCTAGAGATAATGAGATAAAAAAAACAGGACATCACTCTGCATATCACAAAGTACACATCAACTGCCGCAATAGAAACAATGTTCTGCTCTTAGCTTGGTAAGTATCTTTTAAAATTCAGGAATTCACATGTTAGTGACTGATGTCTTCTATTAAGTACTGACCTCGAAGAATGGAGCCGATATCCATGGCTACGGAATTGGCAACGGAAGAAACTTGTTCTATAGAGGTTTGAGACAAGGGGTGAAAGCATATGTGGTCGACCACTCCAAGCCGAGGATGGGATCCACAGTGCAACTCAAGATTGATAGTGTCGAGAGCAGTCTTAACCATAGAAAACACCGCATTCTTCAAGGAAGAAGATGACCCGTTAGCAAGCGAGGATACAACAGTGTAACCAACCCTACCATAAGCAGCATCCTCGAACTTATTGACGATTGCAGCTGGTGGAAAAGCCTTTACAGCTCTCTCAATAGCTTCCAGGGCGGTCTTATTCCGCGCTTCAGATATGTAAACCTTGCAACAACCAAGCATTTCTCTCAACATCTCCTCCGACCACCTATACATATATATGTACAGATGTGAGTTTGTGTGCTCATTATAAGGCTAAAAAAGAAGCTATGACATATATCCACCACATTTAGATTTGTGGTCAGCATTCACAAGTCCAGGAAAAAGGACAAGCCAATAATAACACATAGATTGTGTGTCTACACACACCTCTTAAAGAGAGAAACTTTGAGGCAAAAGAGAGAAACTTGAAAGCCAAACATACAATACAAGAGTGTTTTTATGGAGGTAGGTCTTAAAAGTCGAGATTGGAGGAAGGATTTGGGTATCCTTTGTACTCCAATTGTTTCTTGGAAATGCTGAGAGATGCACAAATGATGCTGAATTTGAGTCTGAGATCATCCTTAATCCCGTCTTTAGCCTCGTCCTCGGGGTCCAAAAGCGGGAATTTATCGAGCAAGACATGGAAATCATTGAGATGCTTATGGAGCAGAGGAGAGAAGCGAGTGGGATCAATACGGAGAGCTGAATTCCAAAGAGCAGAGCATCCTCTGTAGAATCCAATAAGCTCGCCTGTTTCGAACCCGAGTTTCAAACCCAGATGACGAGCGTCTTCACGACCCGACACGAGACCTTCTTCGTAACCCTCATCGAAGCCTTGTTGAATGTGTGTCTCCTCTAAACGCACGATACAATCGAGGAAATCTTCGTTCAGACCGGAACTCATAGAAGAAACTTTGTTTTGATTGGTTTTATGTTGACAATGATCAGCTAATGCAGACAATGACGAACGAGGAAAGAGATTAACAAAACTCACCAGATTGCAGCAGCGGAATCAATGGAGGTGATGAGAGATGTAAAATGATTTTAGGGGTATATAGATAATGGACGATGAATACAAAACTTGGGCCTTATTGGGTCATAAAATAAGCGGCCCAATATAATTGGGTTACGTCTTTGCCTTTATTATTATTTGAGGGATCTAAAGAGAGAGAGAAGAGCATTGAATGGTGAAAGCTGTATAAGCAAGTTGGGGAATAATTCCTTCGTTCTAAGGGAAGCAAATCACGTTCATGTGGCCTTTCTGCTTTTTCCTATTAAGTGTTCTGACTAAACTTGGTTTCAAGAGATTTTTAAGTAAAAGGATCACTTGTTTTATTCAGAAACAGAGATAAATGAATAAAGCTAGGGTCAAAGGTAGGCAATCAAGCGACATACAATGGCAAGTAGCTTGTTGATTAAAAAACAAACGAATGAATTAACACAAAAAAACGTTGGTTCATCAGACTCAGTGGTAAGATTTGAGCACAGCACCGCAGAAATGACAGACGATAGCTTTCCAAGCTTTGCGGTAAAAAGGGACCCCACAGAATCTTGTGGAGGTTCTCATGTCGGCAACCACTGCTCCTCCTCCGCATCTTGAGCATAACCCGGCCGCCGGCTTTCTCCCCCTGACTTGCTTCCTCTGGTCTACAAGGAAACAGAAGATGGCCATTTCTTGAATCTTGTTGTTGTGTTTTTTACCTCAGGTCTTGTTGGGACAATGAGGCCTAGTGTGTGTGTGTGTCTTAAATAGCAGTTTGGGAGTTATCCAACAGTTCGGATCGGGGCCGCGTGTCACACAGATACAGCTGGCTCGCTGACTTGCATTGACTTTTGTTCAATATTCAAAAATTGACATTGAATTATAATCACCACTTGTGCAACCTCTTCTTATCACTCTCAACTGCTTGACTATTTATTACTACAGAAGCCCATTTCCTCATTAACTACACCCATTGACTTTCTCACTCGTAGCCATTATTTTAACAACGAGTGGTTAACATATGCGTTGAAAGCGGCGTCTGTGGGTGGACATTGTTTGGAGCGTCATTGAAAGATGATTAATAAGAAAAAGTAACTAAGAAGTTGAGGTCACTGTAATCTTAGTTAAATGAAATCGGAGGAAAACAAAAAAAGAAGTGAGTGGCGGAGTAAGTAATCAATCCCCATCAAGAGGAGAGAGTCTAACGTTTCACTGTTTGTATGTTAAATGGGAAAAAATTGGAGATGGGTTAAAAGGTGTGTATGTGGTCATTGGTCAGAGAGCTGCCATCATTGCTCGTCTTGTTGCCTCCTGCTTCATCTCTGCTGCTTTCCCGCTCCCTCTGAAGTACATGTACACTTGCTGTTCCCACACACACAACAAACAATAACAACAACTTGTTAACCACTTCTTCCTTTTTTAACTTATAAAATGAATAATTGATGCAGCAAAGAAGAGAACCTGAATAACCCAGATGCTCACGAGTGACTCCAGACAGAAGAACCCAAACCCAATGAAGTAGAATATCTGCCACCACACCACCCCACCAAAGTTAGCCATCACAAAGTCCACATTACAACAGTTTAAGTTATACGCTACCTAAGCTTTCAACTTACCCCGACCAAGATATTCCCACTCAATACGTCGATCGCCGGCAATATTCCTCTGCAAAACACAACAACATATGATTCCACCTCTTTCTTTTTGTGTGATTTAGAAACTAATTTATTACTTACGTCAACGATTTTCCCTTGAAGATAATTGGAGGAGCCACCGCCGCAAACACACAAAACGCTATGTGAAACTGCATTCATGTTCCCAGCATTTACTCTCACTTCCACCTTTTGATGTGTCAAAACCATCAAAATAGTTCACTAGACCAAATGGAAAACTTACCAGATACGTGAAGAAAAACCACCCAAACTTCAGAGCACTATCAGTCCTGCACACAACCAAATCAACCCACATCTCACTCTCATTTCATGCAAGTTTTGACTCTTAATTAAGATGCTATCTGGAACTTTACACTTTATGCTTTCCCTCTAAATAAAGGAACACACCACACAGCAATAGATATAGTACAATATTTTAAAAGAACAATCTTAAGTGGTATGAATACCTCATGGCACGATAAAGAGGGCGATACCACATAACATATGCTCCAGGAACCCCCGAAATGAAATAGATAATAGCTAGAAACCATATTGTTGGACCTACACCAAAAGTACATAAGTCAGCAGATTAGCATCATACAGGCTCAGTCTACTTGGCAACTTTTAACTGTTCCAACACTAACCTTCTCCCTTAATCCACGCTGTCGTAACTGCAACAATGTTCCATAACAGGCACACCACAAGACCTACCAAACAGAGGTTAAGATTGTTTACTAATAATTCAAGAAATCCACCTCTACTGCAACTGCAGATGCGCTGATCATTTGAAAGAGAAAACACATACCCAGCATTGATGTGAAGGCAACATATTGGATTCTCTGCAGATGGATGGGTATCTCATTTGAAATGTCATGATGGATGAGAGGAAAAAACGGTGGCCAATTTTTCTCTTCTATCACAATTCCGGCTACCAAAATAAAGATGACAGCATGAGCATTTCACATGGAACGAAATGTCAGGTTTCTACAAAAGATTTAATTGACAAAGATACCCTGTGCTATAGCATCTTCTTTCCGCTTGATTTCCTGGAAAATATCACAACAGATTTCAGAAGACAGAAAGATATGTACTTGAAAGGCTGTAGCTACAAACCACTGTGGCCATGCTTTACAGATTAGATAATACGAGAGCGAGGCGACACACTAAATATGCTTTCGCCCATATAACACTTAAAAGGATATGCAGTCAGATGAAAACTATTATTCTTGGTTCGGGTAAAATTAAATACCTAGTGCTAATCATTTTGAGAAATGACATCAGGGTATGTGACATTAGTTGGTTTCAAATATAATCACAGATTACCTGTTCCCGCCTCTTCAGTTCAGCCTCTTTTTCCCGGAGTTCCTTCTCCTTAGCTTTCAGATCCTAGAAGTTGGCAATCATAAAATTGTCTCAGGGATTATTCTGAGATACACTTGGTACGTAGGCTTATGTGGATGTAGAAAATACCTTTCCAGAGTCTAGAGGAATATCCATTGTGGCACCACGGTCGTACGGCTCAGGGGGAAGAGGAGAAAGCTTTGACGTTGCAGCTGGAACACTTGTAGGATTCTGAAGGTTCAAATACAAGAAAAGAGGGTAAAGAATGCTTATAGAAAGAGCAGTTATGGTCTTTAAGCCGCAAGAGCAATGTTAAGAGGAAAGGCTATACGATGGAGATCTATGAGACCTAATCAGAGACAACAATCCAATAAACAAGAAACTGATATGAATATGTAACAGCCATTGCAAGTAAGTAAACCATTCATTACACCACATCCAAGACCAGAAAAAGTATCAATGGCCACACGTTGAGGCTATGACCAATTGAAATTAGGGAATGTATAGATCCCTGGGTAATTGGAGAGCATTACATTGATCATCAGCGTCTAACAATTGTTGCTACCATAGAATGAGCGAAAACATAAAGCAATTACATACTCAAAATTGTTATCACCCTTCCCAGAGACACTCACATCACAAAGCCAACAACCCTACGAACACAGAAAGCGTAAATCAATCAATCGACCAACAACTACGTTTCTTCCTTGTGCATTGAAACCGAAAAGTCGATCCCAGGAATTGGAGTAAATACAAGTAACATTACGTACACGTTACAGAAAGAATCTGAGAAATCAGATCAGAAACAATGCAATTCAGCAAAACCCTAGATGATGATGATGATGATTGATGAGATTGAATCAAGCTTACCGCAAAAGGATTAACCTCGCCGTCATCAAAGGAAGGAGACTGGTAGCGAGACATTGCACCGAGCGAGAGAGAGAGAGCGATTGGAGATGAAGCAATTGGGGAAAAGAGAGACTAAAGAGTGCGTTTAGAGTAAATAAGCAAAGTGTTTGGCGCGTCTGGGTTAGACCCGGTTTTCTAAACCAGAGATAACCAGCGAAACAACATTTAACATTGAAAACAATAAAAACTTGGCCAAAAAAATAAACAAAAAGATTATTGTTTAATTGAGGAGGTGTTATTGGTTTGTGATTTAGATAGTGTTTTGATGAGTAATGTTATGTATAATCTGTTATTAATCAATCAAAATTTTATTAAACTCTTTTAAAGTTTTATGTTATAATTAGTTTTTGATTTGTAAAAAATCTTCACAAATCTAGGTTTATTGCCTTTTTGGATTCAGAATTTTATAAAGTCAATAAAAGTTGTGTTATTCAACTAAAACAAATGAATCTCTTATTGTTAATGAGTTAAATTATTATGTTATTGATTTATGATTTTATACCTTTTTCTTCACAAAATAAAATTATGAAAAGTATTATCAAAATAGAGAGATTGTCCGGAAAACTTTACAAGATTAAGATTATTATTAGAGTAATAGAATTGATTCAAACAGGTTTATACTAAACCATGTAATTTGATTAAGACGGATATTCCTCATCCTTTAGCGGCTTATATGTCTTATGAGAAGTTGACCGAAGACTACAAAGCTTACATATGTGCAGTGACAAAGTTTGCAGAACCAACTAGTTTTCATCAAGCAAAGTTTGATGAATGGATCCAAGCAATGAATGAGGAACTAATGGCTATAGAAAGCACTCATACTTGGTCCATCTGTTTTTTACCCCCTAACAAATGTCCCATTGGTTGAAAATGTGTATATAAAACAAAGCTTAATGCTGATAGAAGTTTAGAACGTTATAAGACACGGCTTGTCGCAAAAGCTTATACACGACAAGAAGGTATGGATTTTGTAGATACCTTCTCTTCTGTTGGTAAGATGACTACAGTCAAGACTTTGCTAGCTGTTGCTTCTGCCAAGAAATGAAGTTTGCATCAACTTAATATTTCTAACGCGTTCTTAAATGGCGATCTTGATGAGGAGATATATATAACTCTTCCGCCATGATATACAGCTAAGCCGGGAGATACTTTGCCACAAAATGCAGTATGTAAGTTACACAAATCGCTCTACGGTTTAAAACAGGCTTCGCGCCAATGTTTTTTGAAGTTTAGCTATGTTCTTATGAGTCTTGGTTTCCAAAAATGACATATTGATCACACTTTATTTGTGAGGAATGTTAAAGGCAAGTATGTGGCTGTGTTGGTTTACGTTGATGACGTTATAACTGTTGCAAATGATGATGAAGAAGTGCTTTGAAGACTGACTTACAGAAAGCTTTCAAAGTGAGAGATCTTGGTTCTTTGCAATATTTTCTTGGACTGGAGATTGCAAGATCTGCAAAAAAACTCAGAGATTGCTTGCCGATCCTAATCCGGTGGAAATAAGTTAGTACATTGGAATGTTGTGGATAGACTAAAAGGCTAGAGCAGAGTAAGCTGTGTCACACAGTCTACATATACAATAATACAAACAAGGCTTCGTTAAAGAACAATGGTTGCGACTTTCGAAACAATACTATAATACTAGTTTTGTATAAGAGACAGTCTCCTTAAACTATCTTCTTCCTGCATACTGATTATCCCCATTTGAGTCATTTCTCCGATGTTCTCTCTGGATCATGTCTGAGAGGTCTTGAACCACTTCTGACATTAGTGGCCTGAACTCTGGTTCCGACTGTCCCAACACATAGATGTTAATATACTCTAGTGCACATAATAATTCAGGTGTAAGAAAATTTGTATTCTTTTCTAGTGATGCTTATACCTGAACACAACGTGATATCACATCAGCAAAATGTGACAGCGACTTGGCTGGATAATCACCCTTGAGAGATGAGTCGACCATCTTCGCTAATGCATCAATGTCGTGAAGCTGCGGGATTGCCCATCTCACCAGAAACTGCTCTCCTCTATCCCGTTTCCTGCACAACGTTTTCTTTTCTATTTAAGAACAAAAGTTCAAACCACAGATACATATGAATAAGACCTCATTTCCACTCACTTGTCATATGACTTGCGGCCTGTCAAGAGTTCTAACATAACCACTCCAAAACTGTAGACATCACATTTCACTGTATAGATCCCATATTCAAACTCTGGAGCTCCATATCCGTAGGCCGCTAAGAGTTGACCCGATAACTGAAACACGCACAAACAAGCTTGGACTGGAACATATACAAAGGCCTATGAGACAAGCAAATCAGATTTCTCATGATTCTTGCTTACCTGACTAACGGCACCTGAGGAGATTAGGGAAGCCAAGCCACAGTCTGAGACATGCACCCTCAGATCGTCATCAAGGAGAATATTTGCAGACTTGAAATTTCGGTGAATACTAGGTGGATCACAGATCTCATGCAGATACTCCAGAGCTTTTGCAGCTTCTAGTGCCATCCTAACACGGATATTCCATGATAGTTTAATCATTAACCTGTCATCAGTATGCAGCAAATCGTGCAGAGTACCGTTCCTACAATACTCATGGATTAGAAGCCTCTGACTGTGCTCAGAACAGAAACCCACGAGTTGGACAATATTGGCATGCTGGATTCTATCTATATTATTCACTAGCTCCACAAATTTCTCTTCTTCTGTATGATTGGAAGACTTCTTATCCAACTTCCTCACAGCCAAAAGCTATCCAAGAGAAAAATAACTTATCAGTTGCGGAGATTGAATACACATAAAGAAAGGGATGATGTAATGCATACCTTTCCACCTGGAAACTCTGCCCTGTAGACACTCCCAAGCATGCCCGTTCCAATAAGGTTTTCCTGGGAGAAGCTATTTGTGTGTTGTTGTAGAGATGCGACCGTGAAGTGCTTCACGGATGTCAAGGGCCCAAAGGATTTACTGGATGGCTTCTTTAGAGATGCTTCAGTAGGTACAGTCGCCTTTGCGATGACCCTTTTGATAGGTGGAATTGATGAGGGATACATCAAATCCATAGCATTGCCATTCATGTCTATCTCATGACTCTCCTGCTTTGATTCACTTCCTACGCTTCTTTCTGCCCCACTCTGCAGCTTCGAAGCACCTCCTATTCTCTCTTTTGGTTTAGCCTCCTTGTCTTTTGTTTGAATTACATTGAAGGAGAGAAAACAAACATGTGACTTTCTTGACATCTAAAAGTGGAGAAATCAAAATATGAGATTCACCTTTATTGAATGTATCGGATGGAGGAAGCATAGAAGCATTGGAGCGAGAACTCTCCCTTGCCCTCCCATATTCACTAGTTAGGTGCGGTTTGGATAGTTGTTCACTGTCTTCTCTTCTTCTGAGACATTTCCTCCCCCAAAGTAGGCATACCAAGGCCAAAACCAAAAATGAAAAGGCCCCAAGAATGGATATCCAAATGATTCTTTTACTGGTAAATGAATCTTTTTCCCCTTGAGGAGTTGGTCGGGATGGGTGATCAGAAGGGGGTGATCTCACATGTGCCTGACCATGACCAGTTGATGCATTGGTAGATGGTGGTCCAAAAAACGGCCGCTTAGGTGATGTTGGACTTGGAGGTGTTTCAGGTGAAGGCGATGGAGCAATAGTGACGTTAAACAGGTTACCGCCTTTTCTGCATCATAGTTTGTCACATCAGCAGACTGATACTTTGACAAAAAAAAAGTAGCAGAATTTGCAGATATTAGGTTGGATACGAGCAATGAAAACTGTTGCAGCTTACATGAAATTTGGTATACCCAACAACTTTTCTGGTATAGGTCCATTGAAGAGGTTGTTCTCGACATTCCTGCACAGTTGATAAGAAAGAGAGTAAGCAAGTGGCAAGATGTATAACAGTTGACCAGAAAAGAAGATGGGATGACAAAGAATTTTACAAGTCCTTGAGGGGAAGATCTTGAAGAACATCAAGCTCTCCTGAAAGATGATTGTTCTGCAAAAGCCTGAAAGCATGAGAAATCAGAACAACAAACTGAGTAAGACCTACTCAACACAGACTATGTGTATGGAATGCAAAGGAGAAACTCACAAGGATGTAAGAGTCGAAAGATTCTGCATGGAAGGAGGCAATGGTCCACTCAGATTGTTGCTAGACAAATCTCTACGCATATGTCGAATGTTCGGTTACATATATATGTAGGACCAAAATTTTAAGACTTATGTCGAATGACTGGTTACATATACAGAAAACAATCTTAACAGAGAAAGCAGACCTACAGATTGATCATAAGGCCAAGGTCTTGAAAGACATCGGGTATCTTGCCAGACAAAAGGTTATTGTTCAAGGACCTGTAAGACCAAAGAAGTCTTAAAAGCTGATCACCTGTAGACAATGGAGGTGTTGACAGAGACAGCAGAGACTTACATGACAGACAAAGATTTTAAGGAGGAAAGAGATTCTGGGATGGTTCCTGTAAACTTGTTACCAGAAAGAAACCTGTGAAAAGGTAAGATTGTAATACAAGATGTTGAATAAGAAAAAAGAGGGATTCGCTAATTGGAAAGTGTGAAACATACAAGTTCTGTAGTGAATCAGGTAACGTGGATGGGATACTTCCTCCAATGTGATTGTTGCTAAAATCCCTGAGACAGACAAGACATCAAAAAGGTAATAATGAGAAGAGAAGCAGATTAAAGAAACAAAAGTGCTAAAGCTTAGAGAGGAAAGTACATTGCTTTAAGAGAAGTAAACATGTTTAAACCAACACCAAGCTCTCCTCCAAGACTGGCACTGATGAGAATTCTGAAAAAGGGTGAGCGTATTGTTAGAAGAATGATAAAGAAAAGTGAGAAGAAGATGGGAGGTGTCGTTTTCTCTTTTACATGGTTTCTACTTGGGAAGCATTACATAAAACACCTTGCCAGCTCTCGCCACATGGATCACCTCCAGATGCAACCCAACCAGGGAGAAGAGGAGACTCCAGTGCAAGGAAGAGGCTGTTAATAGCCGCAACTGAAGCAAACAATCATGGTTCGATTAGCTATACTAACATTACCATTACACAAAAGAGAATTGGGTGCTCACCATCGTCAGGATTGGTAAGAGCAAGTGACAAGGAGAGATAGGAGATAAGGAAAAAGACAAGAAAACCCAGGAAGCAGACGTTGTTGTCTCTTCCAGATCTCATTCCGAATACTGACGATGTGAGTGAACAGAGTCGTTGTAATTCAAAAGCAAAACTTTAGCAGCCAAGAATTGGATTCGATAGACGGAGGAGAAAGGTGAGTAAGAGAAAAGTTGTGTTCTTTATAAGACCATGCCCATAGGTGATTTTAATTGAGTATCAGTAGCCCAAAAATCATTTTTTTAATGGATCAAGCATGTATTTGGGTCTGATCCGTATCAGCCCACTGATATTTTTGATACTCAGTATCAGGTGACGTGGCAGCACACGATTGGTCGCTGAAAGCAGAGGAAAAAAAAAAAATCACTTCCCCTTCTCGATTCTTCTCTCCTCTCCGATGGCCTTGTTTCTCCCTCTCCACTCAATCTTCCCTCAAATCGTCGAGGATTTTGCCAGAGAATGGATGGCCGGAGTTGCTTCCGTTTGTTTTCCAGTGTGTTTCTTCTGATTCCCCTAAATTGCAGGAATCGGCGTTTGTAATCTTGGCACAATTGTCGCAGTACGTTGGGGAAACTCTGACTCCTCACATCAAGCTTCTCCATGGCATGTTTCTTTAGTGCTTGAGTAGTAACTCTGCTAGCTCCGATGTTAAAATCGCCGCTTTTGATTGAATTGGCTGGTACCCGTCATCTTCTCTTAAATCTACCGACTTTGGCCTCTCTGTTTTCTGCAAACCAGGTTCGAATTTGTTCTTGTTCTTCTCTAATTTTGTTCCATTATTGTGTTGGTGATGTTTATGACTATCTATTTCGTTACTTGATGATTTAGTTTCTTCATTTTATTGAATATGATAAATGTGATTTAGCTTAGCAAAATCTATTAGTATTAGTTTGAAAGAGCACATTGACCACTTGCTTAAAGATCCCATCTTTCAAACGCTGTGACTGCGAGTTTGTGTGTGTGTTTTAGTTGAATTAGTTTGATATGGAGTTTTGTTCAAAGGTCAAGTTGAAGAAGAGAAGGGTGGTTTGAAGGTTTGTGGCTTGCATACACCATTTTCTTCAGCATCTGATATATAGTTTTTTTTTTTATATTATAGCCACATTCCCAATAAAACTCTACAATGAAATGAGACGCGTTGAACACGTCGACCATGCTCGCAAATCCGCTGAACAAGCCGTAAAGGTAATAAGTACTATAGTGCTTCTTCAACCTATCTTAACGAAGGAGCTGTATGAAATCATCCTAATTGAATCGATTTAGATAATGATTTCCTAGGCAATCAAGGCGGCTGAGGAAGGGAACTCAATTCCGGAATATGACTATCTTCCATACTTCTACTCTCGAGCCTTTGATCTCTCATGGCAACTCTACGGCGACAACGTTGGAGAAAGCGTATTGTTTGGGGACAATGCAATTGCTAAACTTGCACGAGCACAACCTTCTGTTGAGAGCCTTGAAGTGCTGTTTAAGGAAGGCCTTTCCTTCGCCACAAAGATATAAATTGCCTTTCTAGGTTGTTTGTTAGTGTGAGCTTTGAGTTCGAGTGGCTTTTATGTCATTTTGCTATTATGATAGCAGAGTGGACATTTTTGTTATTTGTTTGACTCTCTTCTTTGGATTGTTTGGTTCCAAAATAAAATTGAAAGTTACTCAATTCACTTTTATGATCTTTCTTTCTTCGAAGATTACCATCTTTCATCGAAAATGGTACACCAAACTTGTTGGAAACATTTCACGTCACTTTGCTCGGATCTAGCGTTACAAAAACCTTGATTTCATTTGAGTTTTTGTGTCCAAATTTTGTTGACTATTGTACTAACTTGTTGTTTTCGTAGGAGATTGGTTCATCTCAACAACACAATTCAACTATATTTTGGGAGAATTACTTGTATAAGTTCCTATTTATTTTTGAATTTTATGTTTTATTTTGCTTAAGTATATTCTACGTTTTTTTTTATCGTAATATTACCTTTTGTAATCTTATGTTTTAATATATTTGTTTTTGATTTTGCAATTTTTTTTTTTATGATACTTAAACCGGTCTCACCAATACAAACATATTTAGTAGGAGTATCATAAAAAATCTCAAACAATAAACAAATATTATAAATAATACTAAAAAATTTCTAATGATACTATATGGGTATCACCCATATACATGCTCTAATTATCTTAACGAAAGAGAAAAGGGAAGAATGTTTTTCTGCAAGTGAGAGAGAGAGAGAGAGTGTGAATGCGAAAGTTGTGTGTTTTCAAAATTTGACGGACAGACGAAAGAGAAAGAAACTTTTTAATGGGCCTACGATTATTTATCACAAGGAATATAATGGGCTTTTGTTTATAAGCAAAAGGCCCAAATGAGACCTTCTTGTAGAACTAGAGGGTTTCATCGTCACCTTAAACTCATTCCTCCTAAATCGGGACTTTTTCTCACGACGATTGAGATGCATTCGCGCTCCGCCCTAGTCTCCCGATTCCTCCGTCCGGCGTCGAGATGCTTCTCCTCTTCCTCGCCGGTAACTCCCGTCACCGTAACGCAATCTCCCAAGAGTCTCGAGGCTCTTCGAGCGCGGCTGGCGAATGAGTCGCCTTCCCTAACTGATTTCATCCACGGCGATACCTATTCCGTGGAGGTTGGAACCAAGAAGAAACCTCTCCCGAAACCTAAATGGATGAAGGAATCTATTCCCGGCGGCGAGAGGTATGTCCAGATCAAGAAGAAATTGAGAGACCTTAAGCTTCACACCGTCTGCGAGGAAGCTAAATGTCCCAATCTCGGTGAGTGCTGGTCTGGTGGCGAAACTGGAACCGCCACCGCTACGATTATGATCCTTGGGGACACGTGTACACGCGGCTGCAGGTACCTCCTCTTAATTCATCAAGATCTTTCCTCTCTCTTTTCTCTGAAAGGGGCTTCTATTTTAGGTTTTGTAATGTGAAGACATCGCGTACACCTCCACCGCCTGATCCAAATGAACCTAACAATGTGGCTGAAGCAATTGCATCTTGGGGGGTAGATTATGTGGTGATCACCAGTGTAGATCGAGATGATTTACCTGATCAAGGGAGTGGCCATTTTGCTGAAACAGTACAGAGATTGAAAGTCTTGAAGCCGGAGATGTTGATTGAAGCACTAGGTAATATAATGATGTGGGATTGAGGTTTTGATCATGAGATTTTTTTTGAATTTGTTTTCGGTTTTTTTTGATGATGTAGTTCCTGATTTCCGTGGAGATGGTGGATGTGTTGAGAAGGTTTCCAAGTCAGGGCTTGATGTCCTTGCTCACAACATTGAGACTGTTGAAGAGCTTCAGAGTTTTGTGCGGGATCATCGTGCTAACTTTAAGCAGTCACTTGATGTGCTTAGGATGGCTAAGGAGCATGCTCCTGCTGGCACCTTAACAAAGACCTCTGTAATGCTGGGATGTGGTGAGACTCCTGATCAAGTGGTTAAGACAATGGAGAAAGTCAGAGCAGCAGGGGTTGACGTTATGACTTTTGGTCAATATATGCGACCGTCTAAACGGCACATGCCAGTAGCTGAGTACGTGACACCAGATGCCTTTGAGAGGTATCGGCTTCTTGGCATGGAAATGGTAATGCTCCCTTCCCTGTTTTTAAGTTTTATTAGCTGAGAAATGCAATGGGAAAGAAGGCTAAAATGGAATGTGTTGGTGGTAAACAGGGATTCAGATACGTAGCATCAGGACCAATGGTGAGGTCGTCGTACAAAGCGGGAGAGTACTACATAAAGTCGATGATAGACGCTGATCGAGTTGCTTCTCCTTCTACCTCCCCGTAGATACTCATTCAAGATTACTCTATGATATGTGAATTCTTTCACTTTATTGCTTTGTTTCTTCTGCGGGTAAGCCATTCACAACACTTATCCGCGACATTCTGAATAATGATGAGAATATGTAATACTATCATTGTCCAATCTCCAATGTGTGTCTAGTCTCTCTCTCTCTCTTTCTCTTACTATCATCGTACTTCTGGAATGTTTCATCTTTCTCTGATATATATATGAGTCGCTCTGTTCTTTTAGGAGCATTGTCGACTTTTGTCTAGCTACATTGTTGAACTTGAAACAGTAGTGGTGGGGACTAATCACCAACTCATGAACCCTTGTGTTAATTGTAGATTGTATAATGAATAGCTACAAAATTATTTTTGCATATCTTTTAATTTTGAGCTATTCTTGTACCTTTTATTTCTAAAAATTGCTGCTCTTAAACTTTGGGATTATCAATCCACCTTGACATCTCCTCTGGGGCATCAACACTGACATTATCAACCTCCATTTGTCACTTTGTACATTAACAAAACAACTCAAAGACATCATAGAATTTATTAAGACCGGAAACCATGGCTTTTCGGTGTCTGTTGATTTTCTTTTCGATTCCCTTTTTTGGTTTCATCACCCTCAAGATATTGAGTGCGTCAACCCTACAATTGATTTCATCTACTGATTCATCGCAATGCTAAACCAGGCGGTATATCTTGTTCTTTCAATGGAGTCTTTGCATGTTACTGCGGGGCAATTCGTTTATTTAATATAATGGTATGTGAAAATGAATTCATCTGAAGACATGAACTGAAGAACATGACACAAGATTCTCTCTTTCTGAAGGAGATATAGAGAGATACAGAGAGAAAAAGAGATGGCAAACATATGACTAACGAAACGGCTAGTAAAGCAGAGGGTTACTTATCTAACCAAGACTCAAGACACCAAAGTAGACCCGTTTGCATCTAAGATATGCTTATTTGTTGACAAATTAATAATACTCAGGGTAGTGGCACTGGTGGAACTTGGCCGTTGCTTCCTGCGCCAGCTCCAATGGTCGGGGTTGGAGCTTCAAAACCAGGGTTTGGGACAAGCGTATCATCGCCACCAGGGAGTTGGGTGCGAGGTCCCGCCCCTTGGCCACCATTATATGATGGGATTCCCCCACCGGTAAGAGGAGCTCCGGTGACAGGATTGTAAGGGTAGAACGGCTTCTTACATTTGGGAGGAAGCAAGAACCTTCCAACACCGGGGATAAGAATAGTTGGTTTGGGCTCAATGGTGACAAGAAAGTCAGGGTGTTTGACATCAGTGGTCTTAGGGGTCTTGGGAACGTGACGTAGTCCGCTCACTTGCTCTGCAGATCCAAGCAGTAGGCTTAAAAGCACGACAATGACTGCGGATGTGATAAGTGAAGAAGCCATTGTTTGTTTTTGTTGTAGAGGAGAAAGCTCGTGTGTTTGTTTGATCTTGTGGAGGGAATGCGTGTGTATGTATATAGTAAAATACTGAGCTAATTGTGGGAACATTTAACGAAGGTGAGATGATATGGTTGAAAATAAAGGGTGTGTAACAAATGGGTAGTGTGGTTATTATTAGCGAGCCTCCAAAGTTTGGTGGTAACAACGTATACGTACTTTTGTTGTTGCCTTTTAAATATAGTTCTGTCTACAACTTTTGTTGTTGCAGTCTTAAATGCGGCCTCATGGACCATAATACAATGGGAGAGCCCAAAAAGGTGAGTGGCTTTCATATTTCCATATATTTTCTTTAATGCATCTGAATTAACTAATCTGTGTTTAAGATTCCTATTGAGTGGAGGAATTAGAGCAACATAATGGAAAAAAAAGAAAGAAATTAAAGATGCATTTTATACGTACACATGGTCATGTACCCGGAGAAGCAAAAGGAAAACAAAACGGTTGAATGCATAGAATAAGTGTAGGAGAGGCTGATCATGGGACGGGGTAGGACTTATTGTTGCACATGCACTTGTAAGCCATTGGACAAGTCTCAGCCTCTTGGAGCGATGCACACACAAAGCTAACCATGACAAGTCTGCATGGGGAGCATGAGCCACACGCGTGTGAGCAGTCTGGCAACCTAGACCCAGCCACTTGCACCGTGTCCGGCCTCCTCCTCTGACGCTTCAATGTCCCGGTCATTCCCACATGATGATGACCTGCACATGCACACAAACATGAACAAGTTAGAGAGCATGAAGATAAGTGAAAGAGGTGGGGAAGGAGAGTGAGAGAGAGAGGAGCATACATACTTGGATGGGAGGGTGTTGGTAAATGCCTAGCCAAGAGAGAGCCGAAGAAGAAAGAGAGGAAAAAGGCAAGGAGAAGAAGAGACTTCATGATATATTATCGTAAGTGGTAAAAGTAAAAATTGGGATGAAATAGTACGGCGAGAAACAAGGTATATATGATCGTTAACAAAGGGTTAGGAAATTGAAGAGACTCACGGTAGAGAAGAGGAGAGTCACATGAAAACAAGATCGAACATATGAAATGATATAAATTTTGAGGAGATGATGTAGAGTATGTGAAGCCTAATTAAAAACTTGAACTTCATTCGTGCTGCTTTGGTGAGTGTCATGAGCTTCCTCTGTGAAAAAACTGAAAGACATACTTTTGTATGCAATCACCTTTAATTTACCTTCTATAACCCTTCTTTTGTGTGACCTTCATTAATGCACCCAATTAATGTTCTTACTACAAAAAAATAAGTTGAGCATTTGATGAGATAGAGTTGCGGGACACTGTCTTGGACCTTGTGTTATTAACTACAGATTATACTGAATTGCACAATTGTTTTGAAAACGATCTGTTCTCCACTTGACATCTCAAAATTTTGACATTACTACACTTTCTCAGCAATCTAATTAAGGTTCATTTAAATAAATTTTTAAGTGTTTATTGAAAATATATATATTCACAAGTAAGATGTCATAAAATCAAGAGAAAATCTGTTTGACATCTGGAAGGAGGTATTTCCTTTAATGTGGTTACTATAGAACTAGTTGCGGATAAACTGACTAATTTAGCGCATCATCAAAATTTTTGTTTCTCCGACTAATTTTGTATCCTCTTGTTTGCTTAAGGAGTTGTTTACTTCATAATTTTGTAAACATTTTCTGATTAAATAAAAGACGTTAAAAAGAAGAAAAAAAAGATTTAACTACTAACGTGGACATAACGGAACATGGGCATAAGAAACACAATGGACTTCTATTTATTAGAAAAAGCTTAAATGAGACCTTAGCTTCTCACAGACTGGAGGGTTCATCATCACCTTATACTCATTGCCTTTACCGGCGGGACTTTTCTCACGTCGTTTGAGATGCAGATTTCATCTCGCGGAGGTTGGTACCAAGAAGAAACCTATCCCGAAGTCTAAATGGATGAGGATCGGAGTCTATTCAGTCTAGCGAGAGGCATGTCCAAATCAAAAAGAAGCTGAGAAACCTTAATGACAAATTTTTATATATCGTTGATAAATATGATATATTAAAGAAAGAATGTGGTCAATGTTACCATATCGAAAACGTGTTTACAATGTTGCCGGATCAAAAGGAGAAAGGAGACGAAGAAGAAGGGTTAAGGAAGCTAAGCATGTTCATCCTAATTCCTAACTAAGCTTCCCAACTACGATCAGATTGCTGCTCAGTGCTCACTTTACTGCTCTTAGGAGACGACCTTGACCTTAATTCATGGATCTCATTCTTTGATACGAACATTTAAATGTGATCTTCTTATTGTTGTGTGAACCATTTCACACCAAAAACACTTTTTCTCAGTCCAAGTAAAGCCTATATGATAAGCACCTGACAAACCACATCAAACTATATATATTATTTTTCTACACTTTTTATTTGGGATGTTAACATATCAATGCTACCTTTCTTATTAAGTTTCTATTTGTTAAAGGGGACAGAAACATCAAAAGGTCAAATGATTTAGTTACCAAAGTCAACGGCTTAACATCATTGATGTCCATTTGAGTAGAGTTCACGGTATAATTTTCAAGAATTTGGCGCACTCCATTCGTCAAAGCATAAGGAGAGTACAAATCCGTGTAATCAATCGGAGGATCGGAAGCCATTTGAGTGAAAATCGGAGCAACTGGTGATGAAATCGGAGTTGATTCGCGAATCGGAGAAGTTCTTTCAGCTGAACGACGTGATCGCACCGTACGACGCCGTAAATTATAAACGGAAACCATCGTATTCACCGGATTTTGATCGGAGAAGTGAAAAATTTCAAGAAAACGAAGAAAAATTGGTGGAAATGGATGAAATCGAAGATGGAGATGATGAAAATGAAGCGATCGACGAGAAAACTCGAAGAATCAGCGAGATTTGCGACGAAAAACGGAGCAATTGTGCTCTGATACCATGTTAGTGTTCGTGAGAAAACGAAAGAATCGATGAAAAGTTGTTATTCTCACTAAATGATCTGTTACAAGTGACAGAGTATATATACATCCGGTTTACCGGTACAGACTCTAATTAACTCGGTTTAGTAAACCGGTACATAATCTTATAAACAGGGATAAAATAGAGGTCTGGGATTTGACATTCGTTGCATTCTTAGTCAATTTATCAAATACCAATAAAAAAAAATTGTGAGTCAACTACAATTTTTGTTTTCACAACTGCTGCCAATAAATTTCAAATAAGAAAAAAAAACTTATTAAATAGAATGATGAACCACGTTAAAATATCTTAATAAGAATACTAATGGATAATATATAAGTTTTATGATTGGAGAGACAGAAGGAAAGTGGAGAAGTGGAGAGAGCTGAGCCATTCCGTCACCGACTTTTTAAGCTTTAAGCTGTTGACTTCTTCTTCTAACATGAACCCTTTTCCTTTTCTCTGTCTTTTTTTCTTTGTTTTGGAGTTTGTTTATCCTCTGCCGAAAGTTTATTACTTCAGCCTCTCCACCTCACTGCGTCCACGTCATTTTAAGTTCTAGTCTAGAGACATTGAAAACATTTCATTATAAGGTTGCATATAAAATTTACAAATTTTACAATGTTATATATTGTGAGTTTATATGGTGATACTGACATGGGTAGGGTACATGAGATATTTTTCTATTGAGTTATTTGTGTGTGTCAATTTTGGTCGGTTTTTTTTGTCGTTTATGTCTTCTGTAGGTGGGGTATGTGGATGTCGGAATCCGCAATACAAATTTTAAGATGTGTACCGGGTCGTCTAGCCTTGATAATTCGAATAACAATCGAGAGAAAGAAAACAAAAGAGTGAAATGTATGTATCTGTATATTGCTCAAGAATTCCGTCCCCCATACAATGGTTTTTGTGTCCTATTTATAGTTACATAATCCGAAACCGAAGTCGCCAATCAAGCCTCCAATTTCGCCTTCATTATTGCTTACGTTACGAATCTCCTTGATCTCGCAGATTCCGTGTGACCCGCCTTTCAATTAAACGTCGAGATCCTGACGTTTTATTCGACCTGGGCCGGAGCCTACTGGGCCGTTCTGGACCGAACTAGTGGCCCACGATCTTCTGTCTTTCTGGGCCGGATCCGAATTGCGGGATCCGACACCAACAGTTTGCCCCCCAAGTGTTCCGAAGTGAATACTTCGGGATACTTTAAATGCCAAGCTCTACTCGGGCTCAGAAATCCCGTCATTAATTCCACTTTTTCCGGGATTTGGTTACACGACCGAAATGACGCTTCGAGATCTTACGGTATCAATTTTCCCGCGGATCGAGGGATTATCCTCGGGATGGGGGCGACGCTTCGATATCCTAGGGTTCCCATATTCCCGCTAGAGACTTCTACAAATACTCGTCTGGACTCTTCGGGTTCTGTACAACCGCTTCAAGTTCGTTCACACCCCGTCGTCTGCTTATTTAAGGTACCGAACCTCCTTTTCTTTTCTCTCCTAACATCTTTCCGATTACGCCTAGTTTTTTGCTTTTTAGTTTCGGATTCGTGTTAGTTCACCGCCCTAGATTAGTTCCGTGCTAGATTTAGGCCAGAAATCTAAAAAGATTTCTCAGATTTTCAGCCCTCTGCTCCAAAATCGTTCGCTGTTCTTCATCTCCTCCGCCGTGTTCTTGATATTCCGGTGAATCGCAACCGTCCTCTGAAGAACATCGACCGTTTGATCTTCCCGATTTCTGGGTTTCTACGAAGATCTTCAAAGCTGTTCTTGAAGTGTTTCTTTTTGAAATTAGTCCCAGATCTTCTTACACTTCCAGTTCTTCCTTGATTGTGTTATGGCTCCGAGGAAAAGCAAGAAAATTCAGAGTGAATGCTTCATCATGGAAGGTGAATTCGGGAAATACTTCTCCTCGGACCTCGACGATAAAAGGCTAGCCTTGATGAAAGGCGCTTGCGGGATCCCACGTCAAGTTAAGCTAATAGCTCCAGAATCGAAGGAATCTCCCGAGTCTCCTCCTATCAATCATAGCTGCGCCTTCGAAATATTCTTCTCGGAGTGCGGCCTGTCTTTTCCTATTCCGGGAATTCTGGTAGCACTTATGCACGAACTAGGGATTGCCTTGCCTCAACTCTGCCCAAATGTAGTTCGGGTAGTACTCTGCCTTCAGACTCTTGCTGAAGAAAATGGATACCGAATCACGCTCTCCGACATCTTCCAGTTGTACACAATGAAGAAAGGGAGAACTTCGGGGACCTTCTTTCTCAGTCCGCGAAGTAAATTCAGGGTCTTTGCGGACTTCCCCGAGAAAGACGAGAAATGGAGGAAATCATATTTCTTCTTCCCCGTTGACGAATTCTCCTATGGTCCGAACACAGAATTTTTTGTCCGAGAATGGACACATCGTCCGGGTTAGATGGCTTTTTAGGGATCGTATTGCATGTTTTTCTTTTCCTAACTTTGCTTTTCAACGAACTAATCCTTACTTCTTTTGTCTTTTGCAGTCAAGTTCCCGAAGAAGCCACTTTCTCATACCTTTGCGGAGCAATTCGTAAAGATTTGCAATCGCAGCGACCTTGCGTGGGAATTGTTCACCTGCGAACGCATCCGAAATTCGTGTGCCCGAATTTACTCGCGGTCCGACCTCATTTCCTCCACCCCTCCCTCATCCCCTGCTGTTGCTACTAACATGTCTCCGCTTTCCTATCGCGAGGAGAAGAAACTCCAGAAGGAAAGGGAAAGAGCAAGAGAAGCGAGAGAAAAAGAAGATAAGGCCAGGATGGTGAAGGCCTTAGATGATGGGAAAGCCAGATCTTCATCTGGTAAAGGGAAGAGTTCGGGTATCGCAGATCCGGTTTCCGAATCGAAGACCTCCGATCATCGTGATCAAAAGAAGATATCTTCGGGAAAAGACGTGATCCGGATCTCGGATTCTCGCTCCTCCCGATCTTCTCGGGAAAAAGAAAACTCGGA